TGTGTGTGTGTGTGTGTGTGTGTGTGTGTGTGTGTGTGTGTGTGGCAGCTCTCCAGTAATATTGCCTAAGTGATACTTCATACTACTTGGTCATTTCAACGCAGTCAGTACATTATATTTACTAATTAAATCATTATTATTATATTATTATTAATATAAAACACCTGTATCTGTCCAAGAACATGTTGCAACCATTTGAAAATATTTCATATCTTTAAATTTTGAATTCTTTCACGTTAGTATTTTAACCTAAATCTGAGGAGTTGCTTTGAATTAATGGATCTTTTTCTTCTTGTGGAAATTAATTATTCAGATAAATCTGGGGGGAAAAAATCACTTAATTTAAAGGGAATGTGGGAATGGGGGATCAGACAATTATTATTTTTTTACATCATAATTATCTTAATTTTTTTGTTATCAATTTTTTATAGCATTTCATAAGGAAAACAATGCAGAGTTACATACATGGTGTGAATGGGTGGTAAAGGAGACACATAAATAACTAATGTTACAGGTGTGGTCATCCAGATACATAATGTAGGCTGTGTATAATACTAGTATCCATACATATGAATGCACCTACATGTATATACACACGTCATACACATGAATATAGAATATACATTCATACTGTTCCATACATACACACATGTAGTGGGTGGATCACAACTAGGTGAGCTGTTTTGTTTTCATGGGGTCACAGATCACAAAGGTTGGAAACCGCTGCAGTCGACTGACAATGCCATTATATCCTGTAACGAGTACCACGATCTGAAGCAGACCTCACACCTCCAGCTGGATGCGCAGTAATTATAGAGCAATAGAGAATTAGAGGGCAGCACTGCAGGGAAACTGTGAGAGAATCTCTTTGGGGCAACACACACACTGGCATGAGCACATTTTCCTTAAAGTGCTCATGACTAAAGAAGACTCGTAGGAATTGTGCGTCTTGCATGAGTAACCTGCATCTAATCTTTGACACAGAGAAAGAGGAGTGATAAAGAAACAGAGGAGGAGGAGGAGCAGGAACGATAAAGAGGCAGATCAAGTGAGGACAGGATGGAGAAGAGACAGTGGGTGAGAGAAGTGGGAGAGAGGGAAGAGGCAGAAAGTGAGGAGGAAGGAAGGGGGAAAAGGTAAAAAAAAAAGAAGACAGGGTGAGATTTAACAGTGGACAAGGGAGTAAGAAAAACAACAAAGGGGGTGATAGAGGGAGGAGAGAGGGGGATGACACAGCCATGGGAACCCATATTTGGTCCATGCTCCAGACCCTGCAGTTGTTAGCCTCGACAGTGTTGTTGTTTTGTTTTCACATGGCCTTCAACCTCGCCATGCGGACCACAAACAGATGTTAATGACGCTTCTCACAGCACTGTCTGCTCAGAGTCATCAGCGCTGTTAATGAGCTGTGGTGAGACGTTTGCTGACGATGGACGCCATCGCAGAGCTGCAACAAAACTGCTCCGGCAGGAAGTTAGAAAAACAAAGAGAGGAAATATTTCATACATTTAGTGCTTACGAAGTTCTTTACAGAGACTTGAATAAACAAAATAAATAAAAAATAATAAATAAATAAAAGGCCAACATAAAGTATGTCAAACATTTATGTTTGTGATACTTTGAATCTAGCAGGACCTTTTGTCAGATCCAGTAGTTTTACATGATGACCACACCCACAGCTGATGGTCGGTCACCTGCTTAGACTCAGTGATTATAACTGTAGATCAGGTTTCTCACTGCAGTTGAAGTGTCTGTCACGACAAGGAGCCACAGTAGAGTCAGAGCTCTGCTGATTCTCCAAGTTTGTGGAAGTTGGGGAACAAACACGCTGCAGCCACAACCGATGACGACCTCCTCAAAAATGTCGGTTCTGCAGCGCTGCAGGAGACACCGCGCGGAGACTGCAGGCCGGCGTCTGCAGCTTGCGTGTTTCTGAAGCAGGTGGAGATTGTTGACTCTCTATCACAGTGGATTAAAGAATGTAAACACCATTGTTGTTGGTTGCATGAGGCAAACCGCGTTGCTGTATATCACAAAGTGAATGAAAGATTACCAACACAATGAACTATGAATCTGTTCCAACCTCCGAAAGGGACTTATCGTGGGATCGCCATACGGAGATACATGTGATAACTGCTAAGATCAACACACAGCGCATCCAGACTCGATGCTCAGGCGTTACTTTAGCATGAGCCGCCTGAACAGCTGTGTTTGTTTTGAGAGAGAAACAGAGGACGGAGTGCCATTATTTACGCTTGTTTGAATCTGTGTATATACAACATACGTCGACTTGTGACATGTTTGTGTGTGTTTTTGTTTGCGTCTGCCGAGGGAGCGGACCACAGCATGATCAAGGGGGAGGGGGGGGTCGGCGGTGGTTCTCACAGCCCACAGAGTGACTCTCCGACAGGGATCGTGAGAACCTGAGTGGCAGGGGTCCTCGTGGTTGCGAGGAATTTGACAAAATGTAAAAGAGAAGAAAAACAGCAGTGTTCATAGATGTCAGCAGCAGAACATAGAGGGAGAGAAGGCATTTGACAAGGCTGCTCAGTGAGGAGGCTATTTCTGGATCAAAGGACAAACTGCAACAACCCTGACACATCTATGGACACGTCTGTTGCCAGTGGAACGTCTACAGGTTAATACTCATTACTGTACATATATTATCAGTCCTGCAGTGCAGATGAAAACTCACTATAAGTGGATCAAGCATCCCCTCTGATGGGGGCGAAATGAAGAGTTGAGTAATTAACTGGCTAAACGACAAAATAGAAATAACCAACAGAAATTTTTTTTATTATTTTGATGTCTCCGTGCCGGCGACAGCCAGGGGCCGGACGCGTTATGTTTCCGGGTTTGTCTGTCCAAACGAACTTCTTCAAACATTCATTTGGACGCAAGGTTGAACTGATAAGATTTTGGCGGTCAAAGTTCAAAGGTCAAGGTCACTGTGACTTCACAAAACACGGCCACAACTCACAAATTCTACATGCTAGTTGTGACACAATTAAACTCAAATATCTCCAAGGATAAAATGAAAACATTTTATATCCAAATGGTCGAAGGTCAACTTCACTGTGACGTCATAACGTTCTGCAAAAACACTTCTGGCCATTATTCAACACTGTAACTCAGGAAGACTGTGAAGACTGAGGCCATATTTCATGCAACTTGGTTGGTTTGTGGAGGCCGTACTTCGCTTGTTTCATTCGCTAGTTTCAGCTTCTTAAATGCCGGGGGGGCAAGGCCTAAGGGAGGGGGGGGGGGGGCTCACCTGGTAGAGTGCAGAACCACTTTGGCTCAGTCCTTAGTGCAGCAGCCCGGGTTCGAGTCCAGCCCCTTCGCTGCACGTCACCCGCCCCCCTCTTCTCCCTAACTCTCTCACTGTTTCTATGGCAGAAAACTGACAAACTGGTTGATAATAAAATATGATTAAAGCTTCTAAAGAGGCCTGCGAGTAAAGTTGAATATTCCTCTGAGATTTTAATCCCCATCATGTGAACAGTCTCATTGCTCTCAGTTGTTCTGTCTGTGGTGCAATCATCAAATCCATCAAACTGTTTTCCAGCAGGACGTCTGTATTTCTCTCTCTCTCTCTTTTCTCACACCTGTCTTCGCTCTCTCATCTCTCCGCTCTCTTGCTCGTCCTCTCAGTTCATCAAAACACGTCACCTCCTCTGCCTCTTTCTCCTTCCGTCCGTCATCTCAGACTGCAGCTTCCCTCGTGTCACTGTGTGGCTGCGGGATTATTTATGTGCTGGTGAAGGGAGAGAGATAGTACGAGACCCCGAGCTTGGCCTCTACCCTCTCACCGTCTGCTACCCCTAAATCAGCACCGCGTCTGGCTTACTTTCACATTTGTTCATGGAGTGTGTGACAGGGACAGAGAGAGAACAAAAACACACGAGGACACGTGATAAAAGGTTTAGCATTCGACACTTCTAGGATGAAAATCAACAGCAGAACCAGAGATATCTGTTTTTTTTTTTTTTTTTATTCAACACCTTCCTCTTCATTGTTAAAACTCGGCGCTTGCATTACCCACAATGCAACCCGACCGCCGGCAGTTCACTTGGAGATTCAGGTGTGTTATGTGAGTAGTAGTTGATGTAGTTTTGAGCACACAGAGGTCTGGGAAACTCTATTCACCCTCCAGATATTTAACAGTAGACACTGACTGAAGTAAGTTATCAAACATCACGCCTCTCCGATGTGAACAATCACTGGAGTTCCTCATTTAGTCTCATGTTTTGACTCCCAACATGCTTTGCTGTCACAGTAAAAGCACTGAATAACAGACGAGAACACAATTTAGCCACTAAAGTTGACAAGACAGAAAATAGTTCCGTAACGCCAAACTACTTCATGTCTAAATCAATATAAGGGATGCAGAGGTGATTTTGTGATGTAGAGACCGGGATGCCGGGATGACTAGAAGTTCAAAACCATCTTTACGCTGTAGTGTGTGGTACAAACCAACGCAGTTTCGAGCACAACCATTTAAATCCACATTAGATTGATATTCCACTATGTCTGTTGCCCACGGCGACTCTACTCACATACTGAGTAGGAAGTGTTCTGTTTGTTACACGTGATTTTAAGTGAAATGACTTTATTGGTCAGGATAGTTTCAGAGCTATACATGAGAAAACTCTGGCAGCGGTGGGATTCGAACCCACGCCCCCGAAGAGACTGGAGCCTTAATCCAGCGCCTTAGACCGCTCGGCCACGTTACTTACTCACTGCAACGAAGAAACGAGAAACACGTGTGCTTTGCCGCACTCAACCACTGCAAATTAACTTTTCTATTTAAAACCTGCATTGTTTTGTGCATTGGTCAAGTTAAAGATCACTGTTCCTGTGTGTGTGTGTGTGTGTGTGTGTGTGTGTGTGTGTGTGTGTGTGTTTGTGTGTGTGTGTCTACCAGCCTGTGACCAAAACAGACTGGGGTGCATGGCCTCACAGTGCTGTTTTCTCAGGGTGACAGAGAGGACAGCCGGTCTGCAGGGGAGTGGGGTTGGTGGTGGGGTTGGGGGGGGGGGGGTGAGGGCTGCCGGGGCAGGAGGGTTAAAGTGCAAAAGTATCTGTATATGTGTTGCACTTGTAAAACGGCTCGTCCTCTCGAACAAGAAATATTTAAGTTATAAGTTAAGTAGATTTCGATTTAGATGTAGTCCAGGGTTAAAATCTTACAATACGTCTTTTCAGGTTCGTCTTCTGGTTCCTCGTCTTTCTTCCTGCTGATTTCTTTTTGCATGTTGGACTGGTTCTTATTAACATCAGTCTCAAACCTTTAACACATTCTTTCCATCCTCCTGAGAAAAGCATTAGTTTTAAGATAAGGACATGAACATAAATAACAGCCCATCCCCAACCTGCCACACACACACACACACACACACATAGATATTACATACAATAAATAACAAAGGAACTCATCAAATCACTCCTGTCTGAGAGCATCAAAGGAGAAGTAGATGAGCAATTTCCTCTGCAGTTTTTGTGTGTGTGTGTGTGTGTGTGTGTGTGTGTGTGTGTGTGTGTACACAAACTGGAGCGTCTATGAGAGTTTCGTGTTTATACCTTAAACAGCGAGACAATAAATGGGCCCAGTAACAGAGACACAGAGACGCAGCAGACTCAGACCCAAACAAACTGTCTAGTGGGCGCAGACAGGAAGTAGAGGGGCAAAGACATGTCTGGAAATGAAAGAGAAAGTAGAGTCGATGACCGGACGGTCCAGCGGTGGTAATAATTGTAAATCTCTAGAACTATCAGACGTCACTAAACTCCAAACTGTGCATGAAACACACGATGTACTGCATCATTAACAGGAGTCACTCAGAAAGATATATATTTGCCAAGTGTAACACAGCACTTCTCACACAGTGGGTAGAGCCGGCAGTGATTTATGCCATATTTCCAGCCACTGAGCCGGAGCTTTGACGTTAGATGGCAGCAGAACTGTGAGTAATGTGTGGAACCAGGATTTGGGGTTTTCAGCGTGTGCGTGATTTATGCAGGCTGCAGTCAGCAGGAAAAGGGAGAGCAGGGCCTTTGACTTCAGGGATCCTCCCTTATCTGACAGAGGGAGAACAGATCATAGACAGCTGCAGATGAATGACAACACATGGGAGAGGATAAGACTGTTCATGCCAATAGGAAGAGACCAGTTACTGTCACTGTCCTCTGTTTGCTTTGTGTTAGGTGAAGGAGTTTATGATCCTGTGTGTGATCATGCTTTAAGAACAGTCACCCTCAGTCATTTGCTCACACTCATCCTCACTCTCTTCCATGACCAGCAGGCCTCCTTCATTGGCCAGGTCACATCTCAGCGCAGTGTGCTCTCATTATAATAACTTTTTAAATCTGTTTGGTGGTGCTTTGGTGGCTTTGTCTCTTCCTGTTTTTTTGGTCCACGGCACTGTTTGGTAACCTGTTTCTACTTCTCTGGTACCATGGTGTGACAGAAATCACTGAGATTATTTTTGATCCAAAAGAAATTGGTGACCACAGTCTGGTGGTTATACATAACCAGCCAATCATACAAGTTCAGAGCTCAGCGGTGCAAATGGAATTGGTTTATGAAGTCCTTTGTGCCAGTTTCAGTCACAATTGTAAACAGCAGCCAAAAATAAGCAGAGGTTACAGAGGCTGTATTGCAGAACAAGTATCTATCTATCTATCTATCTATCTATAGACTTGAGACTATGATGTGAATTGAAACTGTTGTGCAGATCGATCAAAGATAATAATCTTTAAAGTGGTTGCTCTTATTCCTGAAGGTCTTTTTCTAAAGCGGCATTGACCAATTTTGGAGAATCAACGACTGACATGTAATAAAACTAAAATCTACAGTAAAGTAATAGCTGCACCAGTATGATGAACATTATTCATTCCTGTAATGCTGTTCATAGGCTTGTAAATTTTATCTGATGTTAGCCTGCCCCCTTGTGGAATAATTACAGCTGTGCAGATGTTACTACAGCCAGTGGGAACTTGCCTCCAGTCCTCTGTCATCCAAATACAAAACAGTTCAATTTTATAAATCATGGCAAATTCGTTTATATTGTTTTATTTAATATTGCATCATTAAATCTCCTATACAGACCAAGTGTGAGTGTGTGTGAGTTTGATGTCAATCACATTGCAACTTCAACTCATCAAGTAACATCAGTAGTAACCCGGTATCCTGGTAGGAGAGTATGTTGAGTAATAATTAGTAACATGGAATTTTATACGTCATAACTAGGCGACACAATTTTGGTTTAACATGCAACAGAGCTCATGAGAGGAGCATGCCACAGATGAAGTGGAAGCAACAGATGATGTTTGGTTTTGTTGCTATGAAGCACTCTGCACAGAAAACTCTGAAAAGAAAATGTCAAACTTTGAAAAACACTGATTTAGTAACCAGTCATCAGCATCATCTCCATATAAGCTTAACAGTCAACTGGTAAAACCGATTAAGTTCAGCATGTAGTGTGTAGCTCTCTGCTCCTCTTCCAGTAACTCGTCATCTGTTGGATGCTCGTCGTTGTCACGGCGATCACTTTCGAAAGGCTGCAGCTGCTCAGCGGAAACCAGGGGTTGACTATAAACATAGTCTCCTCAGGGGGGTCGGTGGGGGGAATGCCCAGGCGTTTCAGACACATGCCCAGGTAGGCGTCTTCGATGTAGATCGGTTTAATCTGAGGGGAGACGCTCAGAATCTTCTCAGGCAGGTCCAGGGACATGACGTAGGCCATGCCCAGCGGATATGGCGGGTACTCTGAATCAGCGATCACGTGTGTCGGCATGTAGAACTTTGAGAACGGGTTTCTTAAAACTCGACTGTGCCACCAGACTGAACCCGTCATGTAGTTTTGTCTGGGCGTGCTGGGATCCAGCAATAATTTCATCAAATTCTGGATGTGGAGTAGCATATCTGAGTCGATCTTAATGGCATAAGAAGCATTGGTGCAGTGCGCAGCCAGCCACTCCAGCATCACCATAGTCTTGATGGTCAGATTGTTGTAGCTGTCGTGGAAGTTGCTCTGGATCAGATCGTGGTGCCTCTCATTCTCCTGCTCGAGCTTCTCTTGCTGCTGCTCAGCATCAGCTCCTCCAGGCAGGCCCAGTATGAAGAGGGTCTCCACCGGCTGACCCAGAACCATTTTCTCTCCTCCCCACGTCTGTCGAATGGCGTCCCGAGCTGCCACATTACTGGGTGCGACTGGAACCATCAGGACCAGGAAAGGAGTCCTGGTCTTGCACGTCAGCGTGTCGTCCATGACGAATTTGTAGTTTCGTGGATAGACCACATGATATTGCAACACTCTCCCATGAGAGCTGAGGTAAATGAAGAAGACTGTCAGTGTTACCAGGCTGCCGCCTAAAATTCGTTTCATGTGTCTCCTCTTGTACTCCATTAAAACTACAAAGAAAAGAGACTCATGTTATCACATGAAAACATGGTTCAGATAAAACAGCAACACAAAATTCAGCAATTTACAATGTTTGAGGGAAAAAAAAACATTTAATGATTCAAAAAGTCCAGTTACAAAAGGTGTCCCCCCCATATCTGTACATATCTGAAATGTGCTGATGTTTTGCTCATAAAAGTAAATATTTGTGATTTGAGGTTTTCTTGCCAAAATGAACAGCAGATAATATTTTTGATTGATGATTTAACGGCAGGAGTTTCATACCGGAGAAGTGCTCCAAGTCACGTAAAATTGTCTCTGTGTGTGTATGTAATCCCGCCCCTCTCCCGACGACCAGTTTCTGGTTCTGGTCTTTGGCTTTCTCTACTGATCCACTGACAAAAGTTCAGGACTGACAGAAACGACAGATTGGACCGTGTCTACATGTAATCTGCTGATGGGACCACAAACCTCCCAAGTGTGCAGGGAGCAGTCGACCCAGGCTCAGTGGTGTCACCGGCCAATACACAGAGTACATCATGTACACTGGTCCAACAGTCTGTTGTAGCTACTCATCACTGACTTTATGTCATAGGATATCAATGAGCCTCTTGGTCTGTGCACCATGTCCAGAGCTCCTCCCACTTGAAAGCAATAACTGAAGCCATTTGCTTTTATTTACAAGACCAAGGGGCCATATAGTGTTTTTTTTTTTTATTTAAATAATAAATGTTGAACTGGAAAAGTCAAAAAGTCTGTCTATTTTTTTCAGTTTCTTTTGCAAATGCAGTTATCAAAACTGTTTGTCATTTGCTCACACACATTAGCATTTCTCAATGTGCTTGTACTAACTTCCCTTGTAACCAGATACATTTCACCACTAATGATGTTTCTTCATTGTGTGACAGTTTATACCTTTGTCAGATAGAATGGCAATCATTTTTCGTTTCCTCAGCTACAGCAGTTATATTCTGTGAATTTGCAAATACAGTGTTTTTTTTTTACAACTGCTTTCACACATTTTTGAAACTGGGTCTTATTTTTTTTTGCAAAACTCTAAAGCCAAAACCAAAAATTGCACACAAAATATGCAAAGTGCCACATATCTGCTGCAAAATCAAAGACTGCGTTGAAAATATCAAACAGTAAAAACATCTGAAAATAAAGTATTTGCATCAGATGCCAAACACTTTTTTCATTAAAGTAAATTTTTGGATAAACCATGTTCTAAATGTAAAGCTCGTCTGTCTTCCATAGGCTTGTATATACATTTCCATACAGTGCTGTAAAGTGACAGTACAGTAATCTGCTGAGAGGGGTTGAAATGTACACAGTACAGTAAACACCAATGCAGTGTTTTTTTCCAACATGTTACTGTTGTAACTGTAGTACAGTGTTGTGTCTGAACATGTTTTTACTCTATATTTTTTGTAGTTCTTTTTTTCTAAAGTCAGTCAGGTTTTTATTAAAACATCAAAACATTTGGCGTCTAGAAGCTCCGGTGAAAAGGTTTAATTCAGTGTTAATGACGTGAAGAATAGTGACAATGTTGAATGGATTGACTGACTCTGCATGTTACGACACATGTGGACAATGTTTTGATCGTTTTAGAGGCTTTTGTGTTGATTTAGTGATTTTTTGTGTTGATTTAGTGTTATGAGAACTGCATTAAGAGTTGTGAGAATGATGTTTCTGATGTGTGAATTGCATCAAAGCGATTGAAGGAAAAATATTACTATCTATTACTGTCTATGTCTACCATTGTTGTGTGGTATTCCACATTCAATATTTGAAACTGGGGAAATGTTCATATTTTAAATATAGTTACTTAAATACACCTTAATCCAATTACAAATACATTTACATTTACTAATATGGCAGAACCTTTTATCCAAAGTGACTTATAAGTGAGGGACACAGCTAAAGCTTCAGTGCAGTAGGAGACCTTGGTTTGAATACAAAGTACTACAACCATTCATTCAGTGCGAGGAGACCAGGGAAAGCAGTGTCACCATGTCATGCATGTTAGGGTGTAAAGGGGTGTATCCTCTCCGAACACCCTGTAAGGTGTTAGGGTGTTACAGGTGTTAGGAAAGGATACACCCCTTTTCAAATTTCAAATACTACTGAAGGAGATGGAATGATATTATATAAATATATATATATATATACACTGTATATATATATTTATATAAATTAAATGACATGTTTATGTGTTGAGGATTGTGTATCTAGATACAGATCAAACCATGGACCATCTTGTGATGAGATCTCATCCCTAAGTTCCGGCCCATCAACAGCCTCATATTACATGACATCATCCACTTCTGTGTCTAACACAACATCTGTCCAGTCAAAGTAGCTACTCAAAAGCGCCCAGCTCCCGCTGAGACACACACACACACACACACACACACACACACACACACACACACACACACACACACACACACACACACAATGACAACAATACCAGCCCCCGCTGTAGCAGCAGGTAAACCTGAGGCCAAGAAAGGTAAATGTTATCATGCTGCTGGTATTAGGGAAGAGGTCTGCAACAGTCGCTCTTTCTCCTTTGTTGTTTTCAGTCTTTGATTTCATACTCACTTCCAGTTTGGCACGGGACACACCGGTGATCGATGGCAGCAAAGTAAAAACAAATAAATTGTATCAGTGGAGCATTCAGCAGCTTACATCTAGTGTGTGCTATAAATAGGCCAAGCCTTGGTTCCGCGTCAGTCCGCGCCCACAGCTGGTATAATATGAATGATATAAACGCGCGAAGATTGTCTAGTTAAAGTTACGTTGTCCCATTAATGTGAAGAAATTACTTGTACAGGGCGGAAACCAACATCTTGAAATCACAGCGCGGCCCATGGCAGCATGTTGGGTAACAACAGGCTACCAGCATTTCTAATAGGTAAATTAAAAAACCAAAAAACAGAAGTCACGTAGTCACGTAGTCACAGACACACGCGGCTACAAACACACATGGGTAGACTGTTTTCCTTCTACTCACCTTTGGGCCGTGTCTGTTGTGCACTTTCTTCCGCCGTTGTCGTTGTTTCTTCTGCTGTGAAACTTCCGGGAGATCAGTAGTGACTGCATTACGATAAGATGCGGTAGCGGACACACTCGATCAGTCATACCGTGGCTCACCTGAGGCTGAATACCGCCCACACTGACTGAATAATGTAAATATAATTTTTGCAGATCTAATTATTTCTTATTATTGATTAATCAATTATTTTTAAATCGTTTTACAGTGTTAAAGCACCATCATATAGGCTATATGTATATTTACATACATATATATGATTATTTTTCCTATACATTGAATCTATTCTTTCATATAGACACATTTCACATTTTTGCATGTACCTCGACCACTGACTAAAATACTCCCTAGATTACAGTGGAAATCATTTGGAAGTCACTCATGTTTATAAGTGTTTCAACTGAAAACAGTTTATGCTTTGGGCTAAATTACACTAGTCTTCAGAGCATACCTCAGAACAAAGGGTTGCCAAATGCCATATAGCTTGAGGTGTGTATGTTTTTCATGGGTGGATCATTGGAGGCATTTCACTTAAGGGCTTTGTCTGCCTTTGGTTAATGACGTATTTATACATGGCTAATAATGTGATATTCATGTAAAAAGTCCATTAAATGCACCCAGAGTCCATCAACTTTTTGGCTGCCTACCTTACACTAATGAATACTGAGGGACATGATTTTACTGTAATGGGCTTTTTCCACCACTAGATGTCTCACTGTGTTCAATGTTAACAAATTCCCAAACATCACCACATGGCATCCTTATATGCTCTAGCCCACGCTCATCTGAAACTACACAACTTTATCATTTTTGCACCTGATGCAAAGTCTAAATTGGTTTAAAATTTAATAATAAACTGATGAGATTTACATTAAAAAATATTTAAAAGTGAGTTTCAGCTAATCATCTTCCGAGTTTAAATTAAAATTCTACCTTCAGTCTCGCTCATCATATAGTGTAATTGGACTTGTGATTACTTCCAGTATAATCAAAGGTGCCTTAAGTTTTGACTGGTCATGAATAAAATGCTGATTCTTGTAATGCAAATCCTATCAGGTCAATAAATGTTACAACACTTTGCTATAGCAATGAGTCTGAATTCCAAACACATTTGTGTACAAATCCCCCTGAAACAAAATCCCATGAAAAACAGCAACAATACTCTTATTACTTGTGTCACCACATCACACTCAGCTGTAGTGTAATTCAAATGTCACGGCCCGATGAAAACACAAGGACAACATTATCTAGAAAGTGATAGCTGTGATACTGTTTGAGCGTCACCGCACAAGACACTCCAGACCTTGACTGAAACTTGATATCCTGCCCATGAATGTGACAAACAGCTTGACACAGCACACACTCATGAATATATAAACCTGATGAAAAGGTAATGTCAAAAACATTGTGGCTTTGCTAATTAAAGGTTTTTCATCTCATGAACAGTGTTGGGGAGTGGTGAACTACATGTAACTAAACTAGTAGTTTAACTTATATTAATCTTTTATTTTTATGTTACCGTTGCTTCTCTACTGTAATTGAACTTCCTCCGCCCAGCTTTTCTTTCCTGATGTGACTGTGAAGTCATACCCCGGGCAATGCTTTTGTCAGGTAGTCCACACCACACAATTGACCTTTGTGTAGTGCACGTACAAAAGCCAAGTGGCAGTGCTCGTACAGCTACAACGTCACCATGGATAAACCTCCCAAATCTCAGCCTGAGGAAGAACAGGCCATTGTGAAGCAGTTATTGTTTAATTTAGATATAACCCTTGAAGCCGTAGGTGCTTTTTGCAATAGACTCAATTCAGTGGCATTGTTTTACTGTCATATGACTTTTTCACTATGTGTACTATATTTTGTATAATGTTAATTTGATCATTTATTTTATGAAGTAGTTTGAACTGTTACTTTTTCCAGGTTACCAAACTGTCTACCTTCAGTAGCTTTGCTGTAGTTCAACCTCTTCCAGTGTGAAGTAATTGGTAGCTTGCCAGGTTATGTACGGTGGCCCCCGAGAGCTCAAAGGCAAAGCAGCTTCAGAGAACACATGCAAATAGACAAAACACAAACAAATTCAGAAAACATCTTCATCAGTTTGACAAAACATGCCCTGCAAAACAAATCACAACACAATGGAAGTGTCCAACCCCTTCGCTCCATACCATCCTCTCTCTTTCTCCCTGACTTTCCTGTCTCTCTCTCTCTCTCTCTCTCTCTCTCGCTCTCGTAATTAAGGCAAAACATAACTTAAAAAGAAAAACGTCATGAAGCTGGCAGGGCCGCACTTGATATCCAATGCTTTTAACTTCAAAATCGGGTGTTGAACAACAAGTCCCAGCCAGGTTCATGACTTTTACCAAAGCTGCCTAGTGGTTGTACGTGTCTGCCAACCAGCCAAGTTACAGGAAATATGGTCACCCCCCCCCCCCTTCCTGAGTTACAGTGTTGAATAATAATAATGAAAATAAGCGTTTTTGCAGAACATTATCACGTCACAGTTGACCTTTGAACATTTGGATATAAATGGATGGCCAAAAATGTATTTATAGTGATCTTTATCTGAAAGCTTTGTCCACAAATTTCTATTCAGTTCATCCTGGAGTCCAAATGGATGTTTGTGCCAAATTTGAATTAATTCCCTCAAGGCATTGCTGGAACATTGCGTTCATGAGAATGGGACAGACGGACATGACAGCCCACATTGGTTTATTTTGAATTTGTGTTGTATTTGTGTAGCGGAGGGAATATGTGTATGTATGAATCAATTCATTCTCCCATACGATATTTCTCAGGTGTTTTGTTGCAGTCAGGCGCCAGTTCAAAACATTTGCTCTCCTCTGTTCCCGACACAGCGATGTACATATCATTTCCCTCCAAATGAAGCGGTGGGTCACAAGCTTCCTGTGACAAAGTTTGTTCAGCTAGAACGTTTTGTCTTTTCTCAAGGACATGTCTGACAAGCAGTCATCACCTGTCCAGTGGCTCACCTAAACTAAACTCAATACGTCATCATTGATCCCTTTTCTTTAGAACTACAACCAGGATGTTGTGCAGAGGCTGCACAGTTAGGTGCAGTCGATCAAAAACCGCTTTCCATGTAATTATTTTAGCTTTTGTCACTGAAAAGGACAAAATTCTGGAGTGATCCTTAACTTTTCACCAGTAACGGGTGAAGGCAGGAATAGACTTGCTCGTACCTCTGCTCTCTGTGCGCTCTTCTTGAAATAATCATTTCCAAAACACAGTTGTCCCACAAATACAAATGCCTCAACTGCCCAAGCCAGTTCAAGAACACAAATAAAGTACAGAGAATGATACGCATCTCATAATACCACACTCACAGTGAACTTCCCTGATTTGACTTTGTAGATTTTTCAGGATGACAAAAGACAGAAGCAACGGAGAAAATTAGAGACATAAACAGAACCACAGACTTCCACAGAGGAAAGTGTTCTCCTTGAGCTCTTCCTGTTTGGTGGGACATGTACAAAATGTTTCCAAATGCTTCTTTCTTCATTCTATCTATATACAATCATTAACTTGTCTTCAACGGTTAGTGATTTAATTGCTCTAATGTTCCTTGCAGTTCAAAGTTCTCAGAACATGTTTTGTTCAAGATAAAATCAAATGAAGCTACAAGTTAAACCTGCCATTCAGGTAATGTTGGAGATATTATTTGCGCAATGTATAAACGAGTGTTGTGTTTATACTGCACACAGTGCACATACACACACAGTATACATAGAGTTTAGTGTCACCAGGTTGCATGAAACCACAACAGCCATTCTCATGAATAGCCTCATTGCTAACGTCTATGAAGTGAAAATAGTGACAACTTCTAACCACTACAATTACCAATTATCTTGGATCCAGATTTTTTTTCATCAGTCTATACTCAATATACTGACATCCCCTTGAAAGAGTTGTGGGTCGATGTAAGTATCCCTCCTCTCCATACAGTTACAGTCTTTGTAGTGTGAAATTCCCTCTTTGTGTCCTTGCTGAGCTGCAGTAAGACAATGGTCAGGAAACTGCGTACCAAAACCTTTGGAGAGCAGCCTTCTTCAGTTTGGCTACGCTGCTTTTTTTTTAACAGAACAAACACTGGATTTTGTCCTCTCACATTGAGCACATTTACATTTTGAGCCATATTCTGGTTTTGATCATATTTGGGATATGGTGTTTACATGGATCATGAGAAACCTAGTTATTCATTTCCCAGAATTCACAATTCAAATACTATCCAGGTTAGAATAATGCAAAAACCTGATCATTAACACGATACTAGTGAGCATCTGAACACACTCAGTGTAGTGCTCACGTCACTGCCACTGTGTAGAAGAAAATAAATGCAGCAAGCAGTTATTCAATGTACATTTTGGCCTGAGTCGTTTTCATATGATAGACTTGGAAAAAAAAATCTGAACCTTGTCTCCACATTGGAAATCTCAAAGATAGAAAACTTGGCTGTTCAGGACCACACTGTGCTGCAGACTGTTCAAACTGCAGACATCCAAAGACAATAAATAGAGTAAAAGGTGGCATTCTGTATGAATATTAAGTCCAGAATTCAGAGTTTTCAATAGCTTTGCTTCTTTTATTATTTAATTTTATTTAAAAAAATACAATAATCTGCAAAATAAAAAGAAATAATAAAATAAAAATAATAACTTTTACACATTTCTGCCAGCGGCCAATGGCTTCTTTCCTTTGTTACTTAAAAGATACCATGAGAAGTATTAATTGCAAACACATTAATTGTGAATATAATATCTGTGCTTAAGATCTATTGTGCAAAAGCAGGGAAAGCTTTCCCCACCTATCAGCAGTAGTAGTTCTTTTAAACCTGCATTTGTTACATTGGCTTCAACGGTCTTCTCCTCTTATATGCAACCAAGAGACAGAACCCATGTCCTCAGGGTTTTTTCTTTAATTCCACTCACTTATATTTTCAATTTACTTTAGTCAAAAAAAAAAAAAACTTCATAAATTCCTTTGTTGCCAACCCTTAGGGGTTTTGAATACACCAAAGTAAAAAGATTTTGTAGTGCAATTGTTCATAAACCTCTGTAATCTTGTGGTAATATATAGAGAATCATAAATATATATATTAGCAATATATAAATAAATTAACTTCCCAACACCCTGTCACCCAAGCCCTTCCACAGCTGTGCATCTGTAGTAGTCATTGTCCTAACAAGGTGGTCCAGGCTTCTTCAAATCTGTCCAATAATTTATCAGCTCTTGTGAAGAGCCAAGGATGTAGGTGATGATTTTGGAGTATTCACAGCGATTATATTTTGTGTTATAGGCCCTGAACTGGGACGGATCTGGTGACGACCTGGGCGCCAGTCCAAGCTTTTTCATACACATTCCAATATAAGCGTCCTCTATGTTAAAGGGCTTGACTGATTTTGAGGCTTCCACATATTTCCCTGGAAGATCGTTGGAGAAGACGTATCCCATGCCCAGAGTATAGGTCGGGTACACGGGCTCTGGGTACATGTCCTCCGAGACGTACCACTTGGAGTCCTTTGAACGGACGACCGGCCTGTTCCACATAAGCATCCCCGTCAGGTAGTTCTTCTTGGGGATTTCTGGCTTCTGCAGCATCATCACCAGATTGTCAATGTTCAAGAACATGTCCGAGTCGATCTTCATGGCGTACGCTGCTGTCGGGCAGCGGGTAGCCAGCCAGTCCATGATCACCATGGTTTTGATGGTTAGATTGAGGTAAGTGTCCATGAAGTCGCTCTGGATCAGGTCATGGTGCTGGAGATTCTCCTCGTTGAGCTTCGCCTGCTGCTGCTGCACATCATCACCTCCTCCAGAGAGGCCCAGCATGAACAGAGTGAGCACCACCTCGCCCTGAACCACGCTGTTATTGCCCCACGTATGCCGGATGGCGTCCCGAGCCTCCACGTTCCTCGGTGCTACTGGAACCATCAGGACCAGGAAAGGGGTGTTGGTTTTGCACACCTCTGTGTTATCCATAATGAAGTGGTAGTTGCGTGGGTAGGCCTTGTGGTACTGAGGGCCTGTAGGTGCTACAGTAGAGAATGTGGGAGGGGGTTGTGTGGTTTCACTGATTCCTTGTAGTTTAACTCTGTGTTTCGGATGGACGTAATAAGAAGGTTGTAGATTAACCGTATTGTTCCATCTGAAAAGTGTGTTGTAGTGCTTGTGGAGTTGAAGGCTCTCCAGCCATGGCAGAGAGCTGGTGGACAGAGTATAACATAGGGTGGTGAACGCTACACAAAGCAGGAAGAGGATCTGGAAGGTCACAGCAGGTTGTCTAAAAAGACAAGAAAGACAAAGTTAAGACACACTTTCCTATATTTTTCTAAACCAAGTAAACAGCTGTACAGTAAACACATTATCATTTTCCCCCCAATACTGATATATACAGTAACACACAATACAATAAACTGTGTAAACTTTTAATTACAATTAGATTGAAATAATTTTACATCATTAAAATGATATAATATGATCATGAAGTACTGGCAGTAATAGCAGTGGAGCCTGGTTTTTGTGGGTGATATGTATAAATATTTATTAAAAAGAAAAAGAAAACCAGATAATGATATAGCGGTCAATATTACGGGACGTTTTACAATTGAAAAACAAACTTGTGTTCCCTCTGACACAACTGTACTGCTGACACTGTTCAAAATGTTGTGTAATAGATCTTTTTCTTTTTTGCAGACTTAGCTGAGCAGCTGAGTCATCCGAATGAAAGTAAGACAGACATAGCTGCGATGCCAAGACAAATTAGATAAAAACAAGAGAATACGTTCCTCGGACTGTTTGTGTCTAGATTAAATCCGCTGAGCGCCTTCATTCATTAAGTTCCTAACTATCAGGCTGTTATTACCCAGCTGTGGAGGAACAACTGTAACCTTAACATCTCAAAACATGAGCAAAACAAGCAAAACAAGAGCCACGCAGCACCATGATTCTGTCGTGCTGTAGATGAATCTGTTTATTGCACACCGGTTATTCTGCTTGCTTTACTCTGTCAAAATAGTAGCTGTCTGTGGTGTTGAGGGATTTTAAGACAACTGCACATGCTGTTGCTTGTTTCGATATAAGTATTGATAGTTCTGGTTTGGTAATAATAACTGTCACTGGCTGCTACTTGCTTAACATATTTCTGCTGGTTATTCTTTCATTCTCAACAGCCTGGAGGCATTTCTGTAAACAGTGGTGCTTCTGTAGTTTCTTTCATGCAACCTCACAATGCAAACGTGTCGCATCTTTTCTTTTGGTATCAAAAGTTTACCGACAGCCACTTCCAATGCACCTCCAACCATTTAGGAGGAATTTATGATTCACATTTAAAATGCCTTAAAGAGACACTAGGAATAAAGTAATAAAGTGGCTCACTCTTTTTTTTTTTTTTTTTTTTTACAGCAGTTACTATAAAGATCTCATGTGACAGCAAACCGAAAAAGACTTGACATCCTGTGATAGAATGGCTCTGTAATTTGACCTATGTGTATAATTTTCTTTAAAATCATTTGTTGTAAGTGTTGTTGTGTTTTACATTTTTCAGAAATCCTTACATTTTCTCAGTGATAAATTATTCTACAAATGATTTTTAAAAAATCTTTTATATTTTCAAAAGCAATAAACATGTAAACTCCCAGCTCCAACAATGAGAAGATGAGATAGAATTACAAAAGAGAAAAAGATCCTAAAGCACAGTCAACTGCAAGGCAAAACAACTCGAAACTAATGAATTAGTTTTAGCCCTAAAGGCTCGCATCAGAAGAAGGCAGCGGCATGATAAGACCCGAGACGCATCATTGCAGGTCAGATACCAAAACCTTAACCTCAAATCGTGCCGGGACACCTGCTGCCAAGAGTCGCCTGCAGAAAACCTTAACCTGAATAAACCGCCGCACGAGGAAGGGTGCGTTGGATAAGAGTTACAGAGAGTGGAGAATAACGTGCGGCGGAGGGCGGCATTAAAGGACCATTTCACTAAACTGAAACAAATCTTTAGTTTTCAAAATTCAATGTATTATTATTATTATTATTATTATTATTATTATTATTATTATTATTATTATTATTATTATTATTATTATTATTATTAGGGATCCAGTGGCCTAAACTACATTGTAGGAGCTATTTGTTGTTTTGTTTTTTCTCATATTTATTTATTTGTTCTGAGTTTGAAATACTATAATTAATTCGTTTTTATTTTTTGATAATATTCTCTTTTGTTAGTCATTAGTTTAATTATATCATTTGCTTGTTTAGCATAGTTAGTTTTGGTTAATTAGTGTTCTGTTTATTTGGCTAACACTATGGGTAGGCTACTTGAGGTTATTCAGGTAGAGTAGGTAGACAGGTTTAGGACCAGCATGCACCTGGGTGGGCCTATGAATTTTTTTTTTTTTTCCTCAGAGCAGGCAGCAGGAGACCTTTTGCCTCTCCTGGGTCCCTTTGTTGATCTGTTGACTCGCCTGTTTGTACAAATGAATCAAAAGAGAAATGCGATGGCTATGTTTGGACAATGGAGTCTTTTGCCTCCATGAACCAACCACAGTTTCAACACACTGACGCACTAAGTTCTGCTGGGCTCACAGTCCCGCCAGTCAAGGGGACTGGAAGCGGCATGGAGCTAACAGCTCAGAACACAAAGTCTATCAACCACTCAACAAACACAAAATCATCATCAAAGTGCAAACCAAGAATCTGTCAGACTTCCCTCTGTTTTCTCCCCAGTCCCTCTGCGGGTTCCTTGTCCCCAAGGGTAGGTTATCTGGTTCATCTCCCACCAACCCATGTGCACATCTGAGTCTCATCATCTCATCAACTCTTCCCACCCACGCCAGTAAATAAACTCCCAGCTCATCCCTCCGGTCTTCATCACACCGTTCTGTCTTTCACTGCGGGAAAATGCCACGGCTAACTACCCAGTTTCTCTCAATCAGAATCAGACTCAGGATCAGAATCCTTTATTGATCCCCTCGGGAAAAATAGGCTGAGTTGCTCCCTCAGCAAAGAATAGAGAATGTGAAGTAAAAATTAAGACGAATACTATATTAATACTATAATAGAGACAAATAGAAATAGAAATATGTAAGGATATGAGTTTTAAAATTGCACTTGTCACTTGTATGTATGAATAAATACACTGCAGACAGTGTGAGATTAAGTCTATTGGTTCTGAGCCTCTGGGGGAGGAGTTGGACACTTTCATGGCCACAAGCAGGAATAACTTTTTGTCGTGCATCTGGCTGGATTAGTCTGTCACTGAGGGTGTTCCTGTATTTGACAATAGCACTCCGTTCCACTGTGTTTCAGATATCACTACCTGCCACTCCTGCCATCAAAGCATTAGTCCGTCCATCCTGCTCAGCCGGTTTTGCAACATTGTCATTATAACAAATTAGGAGGTTATCTGTTTACCCTCTGGCATCTTCGCCCACTGCAGCTCAGTGTAAAGCAGAAGGAAATGTTGAAATAGATATGGCCACACTTATTAACCGACAGCAGATAAAAGCGTGTTAGTGTTGCTGTTTTCACTGTGGCCCTGAAGCAGGAATTTACTGTAGAAACCCTCAGTCAAGGAGAAATACTGATGTTTGTGGCTACAGAAGAATGATGGTTTGACTGCCTCCTGTGGGTCGGGCATTATTTAGGCTACTATACATTTTTAAATGACATAATTTGCTTATCCTCAGATCCCCAGATACATAACTGAGCATGTGACCTGATGATTGACTGTGTCACTGGTTGGATGTTGGAAGTGTATCTGAAAACACAGGCGCAGCTTTTCAGTGTTTCTCTAAACAGCCTTTGAATCGCCACTATGTGACTCCGTGCGTAAAATACGCACCTGATGAAACGCTTTGTAAACGAATCCCCCTGGTTGTCGTGGCTAGTAACCTAGTTTTCATTGTTGGTGCTGAACAATAGCCCGTATCTCCTTTTAATTGTCACATAAATCCTCACGCGGAGAAAAAAAAAAAAGCCCTGCCCGTTGCTTTTGGTAAGACTTGGATTTAATTAGTCTTATTCCAAGTAGAAACTGCTCATAACAGTTTGACTTTTTCTCTTAAGTTTCTGTGAATAATGAGTGCGCCACGTTCGTTATAGAAATAACAAAATAAAATAAAAAAACAAAACAACAAAAAACATGAACTTCATGCACTCTAGAATAAACTTCTGTTTTAGTGTGAAGGGGGTAAAATGATTTGAAGTCCTTACCTTTTCAGCCCATTAACACCTGAGCCACCGAGATCCCCCATGACTGCCGCGACCCTTCCTTATTTCCTTAACTCTTCCTTATTTTAAAGGCTAGACTTTTCTTCAACCATGAAAATCCAGATTATTCAATTAGGACCGACTTATTACAAACTAACTAACTCTCACGCATGCCCTGTCCACGAGAATGAAACTATCCTTTGACGTTAAATTAGTCCCTAGAATCGCGAGGGAGGTGGGGTGGAGGGGGGAGAAGAGAGGGAGGGAGGAGGGAGGGGAGAGAGGAGAGAGAGAGAGAGAGAGGGAGGGAGAGAAGGAAGGAAGGGGGAGGGAGACTGACATTTGAAGTTTTGCAACATTTGTAGACTTCACAATACTTGTGGGGCAAGGTTTTTCAAATACCTTTTCCAAGTGTCTACCTGCCTGCACCTCCCTCCCTAACACCACACACACACACGCACGCACGCACGCACGCACACACACACACACACACACACACACACAGTCTCTGTGACAGTGACAAAAGCTCAGGAAAAAAAAGAAGAAAAGCGTGGTTTGGAAATGTCTCTTAATTAAAACCAGCTCATTTTCCCATCACCAAACTAAACTGGAATCTTAAAATTTATTGCATGGGGTCATGAGAGATTTTTTTTTTTTTTTTTTTTGGGGGGGGGGTGTTGTATTTTCTGTGTGTGTGAGAGAGAGGAAGGGACTTTACCACAGTAATTAAGCAAAAGAGGAGGGAGGCATTCCTGTTGATGTTGCTGGAAATACCAAACTGCAAAGGAAGATGATGTTGGGCTAAGGGAAAAATTATTGTCACAACCCGTAGCAACACACCGTGCATGTCTGCCTCATCAGAAGCATTTGATGTTTGGTAAAAAAAAAAAAAAAGAAGGCGACGTCCCTGCTGTCTGCCACTTTGACCACGGGAGGACACTGGGTTCACACACCGGGGTAGCTCTGCAGCGGTGGTTGGGAGGTCCCACAGGAAACACTGTTGCTCAGTTAACCCGACAAAACGGAAAATACAATGCGATTTAATAGATCAGCACATTGAGTCAGTCACATTGAATGTGTGAAAACTAGTGAGCAGAGTTTTAAAGTGAGTCGTACGTCGCTTCCCTCGGGATGCGACCCCGTCGAAGCGTAACAACGGCAGGCGTACCAGACCTTCGTTGTCATGGTAACAGCAATGAACACGCGACGAAGGTTTTGGTGCGGGCCACAGTTTGTGTAGGTTTAGGCGCAAAAAAAAAAAACAGCTTGGTTAGGTTTGGAAAAAGATCGTGGTGAACGTACGTCGTTAAATGTTAGAGGAGCGTCGTCATTGTTACGGTGATACACGTGGACAAGGTTGTCTAACGGATAAAATAAACAACACTGGCTTTCAGTTTGAAACGAGAAAGTCGTGTTTTGCCGACCCACCCTTCTTTCCAAAGCGAACTTTCTCATTCCTAAACTCTCACCTGACTTCGCCTTACAACAGAATGCAACCATGGGTTTAATAAGCTGCTTGTCGTTGTCTAAGAGGACAGTCTCACGAAGGAATACTTGAGTAAATCCCAAAGGAGTTGTGTGCCTTGGTCAGATTGGGAACCACTGATCTAGACCGTCACAGACTGTGTTGGCCTTTTATTTATTTCTTGCAGAGGGGACTTTGACCATTTAGCAAAGCTGTGTGCATTTTGTTAAGAGAGTAATGGGGAGCTGGGTTGCACTTTTGTCTAGTTGCACACTGCGCTTTCACTATCAGATTAATAATGTTGTTGTTTTTTTTACAGGTATTTTGTCCTCGTAAAACTTTTTGCTCATCCAGGCCACAAATAATTCCAGTGAAACAACAGTGACCAGCTGTCGCATAGTCAGAAAGGAGTCCAGGAAATCACTGTTCCCTCTTGACAAGAAAGGAAATGGGTTTGTTTTTCCAAAATGTTGAACTGTTCCTTCAACAGTGGGCAGTCACAATATAATGCTCAGGGCTGCAATGTCAATGTGGAGTCTCGAAAGTATAGGATCACCTATGTTTACATTGACAGGTATGTCATGGAATGATTTAAAAAACTAAAATATCTCAACAAGTATTGGATTACTATGATTTCTTTTTCATTCAGTGACTGCTGGTTAACATGTACTATTTAATGGGCCAGGCCTCAGTCGCCATTTCAACTTCCTCCCATTGTCTAACAATAGAAACAGAAAAACAGGTAAATGAGCCTAGACAGCAAAATAAATCTGGACCATACTTGGTTCCACATGCTTGTTTTCTTCGGGTCCAGTGTACACCCAGTTTCACGGCCCGAATCTGGCCCATATACAGAGTGATTGTCCGATGCTACACAGAAAAATCTTTCAGCTGTCAGTCAATACCAGAGGATGGAAGCCAGACCCATGCCCAGACGTAAAAGTGTACGGGCCAGACTTGGGCCTCGGACCAAGGCACATGTTTGGCCAGAAGGAAATTCAGCTGCACTAAAATACTGCATGTGTGAGCACAGAGAGTAGGAGAGAGGCAAACACATAAAGGTCTGACACTAAGCACAATGCAGATAGTCTAGGACGCAGTCATGTATACTGGGCTTTATTACTGCAGAACAAGGGAAGTTCCCTTGTAAACACAGAAACATTCATCAATACACGCAGAAGACAAAGTCGAAAGTTTTAACTGCTCTCAGCCATTATGTTTAACCAGCAGATCACAAATGATAAATCACAATTCGACATTGAACATACTTCATCACATAAATATAACATGTATCCCTTTGAAATTATCCTTCCTGAGTTTGTGCTTGAATTTAAATAGCTAGATATGAGTTTGTCTTGCGTCAGATGATACAGCGAACACCTTGTCGGAGTCTGTAACTGTCATGAAGCTGTGTGCAGGCCCTGTGTGCAGTCTTTACCATCTGTTTACTTATTTAGTAGTATTTAGTCTGACAATAGTAATTGTAGCCTACAGGTGTCTCAGCTGCAGACTGGGGAGTGAATTGTCTGTTTGAGCTTGTGTCAGCCAGGGAGTCACTGGAGTCACTGAAGCTTTAAATGACAAATGGGGGAAAAAAATCCTCTTATCATTACATATTTTTATAATGAACTAATGACAGTGAGGTGGTGAATAGTTCTGTGAAGCTGCTCTGAGCTCTGAAGGATCTAAAAGATGTGAGCAGAATCATAATTCATGTCTCCATCTTGTTATATGGACGATGAAACAGCTTTTAGAAGAAAGATGTAACCTTTGATCTGAAAGTGATCATTGTGTCTGTGATCACCTATTGTGTAGTATGTGGAACCAGTCAACAACATCTGCGTGACAAATAGCACATTTGCTAAATCATCTAGACTTCACTGAGCCAACCACAAAACAGTGGTTTCCTGCAGTTGAAGCCTAAAGCACAGACAAGCTGCAACAGCCAGGAAGTATGATTAATCTCCACTCATGTTGGTATTAACACTATTTTGTCATCTGCCAGCTATCGCTACCAGTGAACTAACTAAGTAACTAACTAACTAACTAACAGCTTAATCAGATTCTATACAACTACGTACATGTTACTTTCAGAGGTGGTTCTGTGTCCCTGCTGTTTTAACAGCGTCCTTTGCATGAACAGTGAGAGCCAGCATGACTGACAACATGCTGTCCACAGCAGCCCAAAAAGTCATAAAGTTTAATAGCTTTTTACCAAACGTTTAACTGCAGTTAAACATTAACATATTAGGACATAAGAAGCAAAAATTGGTGTGTGTGTGTATGTGTTTCTATAGGAGGAAGGACATGCATTCCTGCATTTACCCTGCAAGAGATGAACTGATGTCTTCAGCTAACCACAGTGAACAGACGAGCGTTCAACAGATTTAGATGCAGTGCAGAATAGCACTGTGTAGAGGCAAAAACAGTCCCATCAAATGGTACAAACTCATAGATCTCAACACTAACTATGTCTAATTTTATCCATCAAGATCCACTATTACACTTTATCCTGAGAAAGTGACAAAAATGTTAAAAAAAAGAAAAAAAAGGCCGTATTAAGAAAATATTAAAGAAAAAGATGATAGCCCAAAGAAAAGATTCTTAGATCTGCCAGTTTAAATGGATCCACGCCAAGACTTAAGGGGTTTTCCCCTGGCCCATGTCCCTTAATGAAGGTGTGGTACTTTTTGCGGTTAAGTACTTTTCATGTAATCCTGCTGACAAACAAACAAATAAATCAACAAACAGACATGGGTGACAAATGGCCGGGTGTAACAAACTGTTGAAGCAAGCAGGCAGCCAAATAGTTTGAGGCTATTGGTTTAGTTTGAGGTTACGTGATTAACAGCTCTGACAGCTGTGTGTGTCCATGTGTGTGTGTGCGGTTCCCATTTCCGTGAAATTCTGATGACATATGAATTAATAATTGTAATTGGCTTTATATTATTATGCTGCATAAAGAGATAGTATTTGTCCTCCACCACTCCTTCCGCCCAGCCTCAACTGTAAAACCCAACATTTCAGTGGAGATTTCACTTTGCGAATATTATGCAACATGTCTCAGGTCTTTTTATTGAACTTGATAAACCTGTTAAACTTATTTGGACAACATGATGGGTGAGATTCAACATTATTTTTCCACCTTTTTCATGATTTATTACTTTTTCTCAGTTTTATTTTTTGCTTTATTCTTGTTTTGTTTGTTGAGAAAATAAGTCAAAAGTGATGAAACTTTATCCACACATTGACACAAAGACACACGAAGACAACAGGAGATATTGAAGGTAGATTTTCTTTCATCCGTTTGTGTTTATTGACATACTAGTCATTGTCATAGTCATTAACACTGGCGACATTCTTAGAAAGTGTTGCAGTGGCCCTGATGTACAAATCACATCTGTTGTCAAGTTATTAAAATTCAGTTTTCTAAAATGTAATGAAAAAAAAACATTTATACACTTTACATTTGCGTAAATATTTTTAATATACTGTGTGATATATTTCAGTTGAAACACAAGGCACTTGGACACCTTTGAAATACTGATTAGGATAAAATCAATGTGCAAACAAGAGTACAAGATACAACAAACAAAGATACAGGCCACATGTGGCCATTGTCAAACATTTCCCCTTTGAAAGTACTTGAGAGACTGTTCTGAAACCGCTGTTTGGCTTCTTCTTGTGTACCTTTTCGTGTTTTAACATTCATGTAAAGCAAATGTGTACCCATTACTGCCTAATACACACCCTTGTCTACTTTGTTCCTGGTTGAATGTGTTCCTCAGCTGGTCTTGTTTAAAAGGCAGGGCTGATCCTGTTGAGATCATTGTCTTGGAGTGATAAGTAGAGCAGACAATTAGCTAAGATAAACTGCAAGCATACAGAGTTAACCTCAAACCTACATTCAGTTACGTCAACACGTTTTTTTTTTTGTTTTTTTTATCTTCTTGCGACTTGAAAATCACATGGTCAAACAGGTAGCTCTGTGTGGATTGTAATCTTTCTTCACACATCGTAGTGCCGTGATTGTCCCAAAACAAATTATGCCTCAAAGTGTCTCTGAGATACGACAAATGCACACTGAGATCGCTTTATGACTAATAAATCAGAGATTACTACGTCATGAGGTTTGGTTTCCTGAAAGGTGTTCAATAATCTTGTTTGCTCTGGGCTCGGGAGCGACGATAAAGTAAGGGGACATCAAAGTTTACATATTGCACATGTCACCTGTTGCACCAGATCTATTCCACAGAAATTTTTAAAACAATACAACGTTCACTCAGACTGTGAAGAGTTTGAATCCATTCTGTGAGTAGATGACTACGGCAAAAACTAAAAATGATCTTCTCAAACACGTGAAGATGAATTAAAATAACCTCAAATGTTTTTATTTTAATGTCAGCCGTCATTTTATGGGAGTCTGTGTCAAATTTTCTAATGATTGCTATCTTATTTTAAAATTTAACTCATTTAATGTAGTAATAAAACACATTCTAATTAATTTTACATTCAATTATTGTGTATGGACTGTGTTTCCCATTGCGCCCCATAATCCTGCTTTTCTATTTTTTATCTAGGAATAAACACATGGGTACATGGGTGTGTGGCAGCAGTGAGTGGGGGTTGTCAAACATATCAACTGCAACATTATTAGTGCACCTGCTCTTTTCTTATGACCTGGTTTAGTTCATCTTATACAGGTGATTGTCCGCTGGAAAACGCTTATTGACCATGAGGTCAGGGTGGAGATGAACGGGAGGAGGGTGTGGGGGAATCAAGGAATATTAAAGGATCGGTTCACCCAAATAACACATACTTTCTCACGTGTGTGGTATCAAGCCATACAGGTGGATGTTGTTTTCTGTCGTGTGTTTTCGAGATACCTGCCTCTAGAACATCTGCCACCACCCTGATTTGTTGGAGTTGAACGCAATGTCATTTTAAAGGGTCACAACACGACGCTTGGAGCTAAATGCTAACATCAGTGTGTTGTACATGCTCACTGCGACCGTGCCAAGATGGTGATGGTTACAGGTGTAATGTTTACCTTGTTAACTATCTTCGATTAGCGTGTTAGCATGCTAACACTTAGTAATTGTCACTAAATAGGAGAAATGAAAATGTTGACCTGATGATGGCTCTGGATAAAAAGTCAGCGGATCACCAACGTCAGTAGGATTCATTCTCCGGGGATCATCTGTGACTGTACAAAATCTCATGGCAATCCATCTGAAAGTAATTGATACATCCAATACATCCATTTTCAACTAAGTTTTTGGCTGACACCTGAGAGGGATATTTCAAAATCTCAGCAGATAAAATCTCTGCATGGCTAGATGCATCTATATTACACATATTTAGTAGTTTGGGTGAAGTTACCCTTTACACTGTGAGACAGCTGAAACATGCATGGTGACACTCCAGGCTCGTGCTGGGGTTTTGCGCACTCAACACAAAGACTTCTCTTCTTTTCAGTCTTTCTTTCTGTCTTCAGTTGTTTCTGTGCTGGAATGAATGAAATGCGTTTTTATGGCTCTGCAGATGACGGGGACCTTTGATCACTCACATGCACACAAACACTCTCTGCAGTCACGTTCTGTATGTCATGACACGCACACAAACACAGACACAGAAAACCACAAACACACACTCCCTGGTTCTTTTTGAATTGCTGAGTGCACATCCTAGCTGACAACAGCTGGTTTGAGGAGGAGCGCCCTTGGCGGAACAACCACCCAGGACAAAGGGTCACTACGCCTGGGCCCCACCCCTGCAGACAGGTTCAGCACCTCCCCCTCCTCGCCTTCCTCCTCTTCTTCTTCGCCTTCTGTTTCCTTCCCCGCCATCCGCCCCAGACCTCCCAGAGCTCCCAGCCCTAACATCGAAGCAGCTGAGAGTCCGAAGTGTAACAGAGGGGAGTCCGAGAGGCCGAGCGGCCCCATGCTACTGCCTCCGACAGAGAAGAGTGGTGCCCCATGGTGGCCCAGGGCTCTGGCGTGGCAGAAAGCAGAGAGAGGCAAAGAGGTCCCGAGACCCCCAAGGAGAGCTGCGGCAGCCCCGGGTATGATGATGTGGGCTCCGCCTACAGAGGGCAGCTCAGCAGCGCTCTGGTGCCCGGGCAGGCCCAGCCCTGACCCCAGCCTGCCCGGAGCACCTTGCTCCTGGGCGACAAAGTGCCCGTGGGCCTTGATGTGCTTGCGTAGCGAGCTGGGATCTGTGTAGCGCTTCAGACAGCCTGCCATCTTGCAGTAGTAAGGCTTGTCAACGTAGTGGGTGCGGGTGTGTTTGAAGCGGTCGCTGGAGTTGGAGTAACGTTTGCTGCAGCCTTCATAAGGGCAGATGTAGGGTTTTTCTCCTGTGGAAGGAAGATGAGAGAGACGGGAAGTAGAGGGAGGGAGAATGAAGACATGACTTGATTAAAGTATAAATAAAAAACAAAACCAGAACAATGGTCTGAATAGGTTTCACTGCGGGTGACAAGAGGCACAGTGAGAAAAGCAACATTCACTTATATGTTGCCATAAAACATTTTGAAATTCTGCAGAGTTATGAACTTCTGTGAGAATTTTTTAATGTCTTGTTTCGGCTGGAAGTTGTCAGTGCAGCTTTTTTTGATCAGGACAAATGGATCTTGCTCACTTGTACCATTTGATTTTTCAGGTTAAACCTTTCTTAAGATTTATCCTGTGTTGCTAATGTGTTGCTGCTTTACAAGGACTTTAATTAAGTACTTCAAGCTATTTGATATCACACTTCCATAAAGATGGAAAAGAAATAAGAGAAAAATAAAAGATATAAAAAAGATTTTCTTAACGGCCAAAAACAGTGCAGCAGAAAACATTAGAGCCAAACATTAGTCCCTAATATTGGTTCAGCTCCAAAACCACTAGATCCTACACTTCCCATGTTCCTAGACTCATGAGACTCTCCATGAGACGACTGACGCATTACACGGGTGTGGTACAAGCAAAGTGCTCATGAGTACGGTGGCCCTGAGAGCTCAACACTTAAGAAAACACATGCAAACAAACAAATTCAGAAAACATCTTCATCAGTTTGACAACACACGTGCTGCAAATACTCACAAAACAATGAAGGTGTTTCCAGGGGACACAAAAAAGTGATGAACCCGTCAGCGTCGCACTTATTGTTCAATGTTTTTAACTTCAAAAGTCTCAAAGCATTGAACAACAAGCGCGTCCCAGCTGGGTTCATCACTTTTTCGTGTCCCCTGGAAACACTTCCGTTGTCATCTGTGCTACTTGCAGCGCGTTTCTGTATTTGCTTGTGTTGTGAGTATTTCAGATGTTTTCTGAATTTGTTTGTGTTTTGCATACTTGCATGTGTTTCCTTGTTGCAGGACACTGAGTTCTCAGGGCCACAATTCATGAGAGACAAATTATAAACAGGACAAAGTCATCCTGCTGATGAATATCATGATATGATCCAAAACCCAAGGACTGCAACTAAATGGACCATGAGGTGACATTGTTTTGAAAAGAAAAGAAAGGAAAGGAAAGGAAACCCCCAACTGAACAATAAATCACAGGATTTGAAAACAGAATTTTGTGCAGTTTCCTACCACTAGCATAACCCTCCACCTCGCCCTGTTGGCACTGAAAGGAGAGAGAGGGAGCAGCTGGTGAACCACAAACAATAACAAAGAAGAAAGGTTTCGTGTTTACAAGAAAAAGAAATTTATCAGATTCTGTGTGACACAAAACAGTATCTTGTGCGCACATTCGGGGATAACAGGAATCAGAAGCAAAAACGGTGGTTAAACATGCCTTGAGCACTTTGAAAGAATTCGCTCCTATGTTTCAAAGTTATCCACCCAAGTGAATCATGTATTTGCACAAACTCTGTGTAAACGTACTGATCATCAGCTAGATAAGCTTTCAAGACTCCAAGACTCCCGTTCATGTTGCAATGCATGCCTTTTTCTTATCACTGTAGTTTTATAGAATCGATAACTCCCTGCAGATCTGGTCAGTAAAGACACATACTGGGACGGAAAAGATAGGAGTCATGCTTTCAAGGAATTATCCCATGTTAGAGGCATCTGCTGCTGTTGTTTTTTGTAAAAAAGAAAAAGAAAAAAGAGAAAATGGTAGCAAATGGAATTGCAGAAAACCTTCTTTACAATTAAACAGTCTTTACATTTAAACATTCACATGTTTTGGATGGATGGAGGGTGAACCTGAAAACAGTATGTCTTCGACTCTGGCTATCGTCGGCACAGAGGCATAGAAAAACATCAGCTAGACAACACAGGTCCGCCTGCAGTGCATTCTTTCCACCAAATTTACCAGAAGTGGTGAGTTGTGCAAAGAGCTGATTAGCAGCAGTCAAAGACAGGAAACGATGAACTGACCATGGCAGCACCCATGGGAATTAAACAGAAAACACAATATCCACAAACACAATGCAATTACCAGATTTCCCTCCTCTGGGTTTACTTAAAGTCGAGCTATGTGACGTGAAGAGAAACAACTCTCTGAGATCAGAGTGTCATGTGTCATAGTCACAGTGATGTTATCAGGGTTAGACTTGTTCTGTAGTGTGGAGTTTATATGTTGAAAGACATTTACCTGCATAATGACAAAGACACTACATAGTTGCATTAAGCGAATTTTTCTTTTTTAAAGGCGAACTACTCCCTCAAATCCAGCTAGAGGTCTCTCGTCCAGGCAAGATAAGCAGGAGAGGGAGGCGACGACAGCAGGGGGGCGTGGCCTTCTAGCTACGTAGCGTGTGACATCATAGGGAAGACACGAGGGAGACTGACTGACCACCGCTCAGTGTAGCTGGGACAGGAGGACATCAGAGCCGACCGGCTGTGAGAAGCTGCTGGTTGTTGATAGACAGGGAGTGTGGTGGAGCTTTGACAGTCACTGCAAGAACATTTATGGCCCCTGTTGTGCTTTTTAAGCAAATGTTGCTCAAACAGGAGGAAATACTGCATTTGTTGAGGATGATTTTCAGCCACAGATTCGATGCTGTAGTCTTGTGCGTATTTAAAGCAGCAGGACGGTGTATGTGTACATGTCACTTAGTTTAATTGCGTGGCTCACTGATGTGTTCTAATAGTTTATGAACTGAGCTCTATGGTACAATACTTGTTAAGCAGATCAATTCAGGTTTGGTTTTTGTTTAAATTTGTTGGTAATAGCATAAATACGGAATATCACCTCACTTATACTTTCGCCTGCTTGGATTGTTTCACTGTGAACTCACCTGTGTGTGAGCGAGTGTGTATCTTCAGGTTCTCCAGACGTGAGAAGCTCTTGTTACAGGTGGGACAATGGTGCGGCTTCTCATTGGTGTGTGTGCGGATGTGAATCAGCATTTTATATCTAGAAGAAATAACAAAAACAAACACACAATGAAGGGAATTTTGTTTACAAAATGCACACACACACACGCACGCACACACACACACACAACATGTAGAAATGTTTTCTGAGGATGTGGCTGCTGATATCTGAATTACTAGTTACGTAATACAAGCTGCCGGAACTACAACATTATATATATATATATATACATATATATATCAGCAAACATCTTTTCCTCAGTCGCCGCTCTCTCTGCAGCAAACATCCTTATGATACCTTTTTACGTCACTGGAAGGCCACTGTTTGTTCTCTGACACACTTGGGTGAGGAGACAGGTGTTCATTTGTTTGCAATCTGCAGCCTCATTAGATGTCACTAATCCTGACACAGTGGCCCTTTAAATGTCAGTGACGATACCAAAGTTTCCAAAGAAACTAAATATTTCAGGCTACATTTGGGATGAAAGTGTTTAAAATGATGCACAAGATATTTATTTCCATTTTTATATAATGAAGCAGTTGTTAAAATATATTTATCTCAATGTAAACATCAGGAAAAAATTAGATACATAATATACAGTATACGACTCTGACAGCGTGAGATAAGAAACAGGACCTTAGAGCTACTTAAGCAGAAATATAAGAGGTTAAGGGGTCATGTTTGACTCACCTACAGTGCTGAAATTAGTCGATTAGTTCATCAGTTAACTGATAAAACGTAAATGAATGACCATTTTGGAATTCAACAAATTTTTAATCATGTACCAAGTAAGACGAAGCCTGGTTACAGCTTCAGAAATGTGAGGAAGTGTCTGTTGTTCTATATTTTATATGAATGTAAATTGAATTGAGTGTTTGTCAGATGCTCGTACTTCATGGCCTGGCCCCAGACTGTATCTTTATATTACTGTGGCCCCTCAGATTGACAAAATTAGTATCCTTCAGAAAATGTGATAATAATTTTTTTTTAATAACGTTATTAAATTAAACTATTATTATTATTATTATTATTATTATTATTGGCCAATTTTCACACAACCTTTTACTATTAAAATATTTAACAGCTGACTCAAAGGCGGCACAGGACAGCCTGTATATGTACAATGTGTGTACACAGGAGGTGAGAGGGCCTCCACGCCCGTCCCAAGCAGGATATTTGTTTTACATTAGTTTACCTGCTTTTGTAACATGTGTGACATTTCAGTTATGAGTGACAACACACCTGGCATTGAAGCCCCTTCCGTTTCGAGCACAGCCCTCCCAGTGGCAGCAATACCCGGAATCCTTTTCAGGTTTGACGTGGAAGTCGTTGATGTGATCCACCAAGTCCTGCAGCGAGTCGAACAGCAGGTGGCACTGCAGGATAGTGAAGGGGGGAGAGATTACCCAACATATACAAAACCATTTGATATCTTACTGTACTGTAAATTCAGACCATCTTGTTTCCTTATACCATGGTTCTTTTATATTTTACTTTTTTTATTTAATATTTATCTGGGGGTGTTTGTTTGAGAGAAGCGGAAAATCCTCACACTTCATATGAATGAACACGTGACTGTTTGGCTTTTTGTGAATGATTAATATAGTGTAATAATTGTTTTCAAATAATCATTTCAGCAACCTTTAATATTATAACCTTTGGTCATGTTCATCCTCTACTATCGCTGTTGTTTTCTGTCGACCGATCATTACACTGAGTTCAGCCACCACATGTTAGTCAGAGTAGTATTCATTTCTACCACCCTCATGTGGTCAAACGCACTGTTCGCACAGTTGCTTTTGTGATGTAATACATATAAACTTGTGTAGAATACTGATACAAACCCATCACTGTGCATTGATTTATTTTTGTTTTTGTCTTAATAATTACATTTACCTTCATCCAGCGGCAGGCCAGCTGACCATCCAGCGAGGGCTCTGGTGAGACTTGCTTCTCTCTGTTCTGACCGATGAACATGGAGGGAAAGCTGTAGCCCCTCGGTGGGCTTCCAATCGGCAGGTAAAACGGATAACCGTGCGGTGAAGCTCCGCCCTCCACACCTGAATGACGAGCTGCTTCCTGAAAGAGAGGAGGAGGAAAAATGTCACACAGCAGCCAAGAAATTACATCATATCATTCAGACTGCACCAGACGCCAAGTGGGGAAACCGTTCATACCAACCTCCGGCTTGTAATGCCAAGTTGAAGATATTTGGGATTTCTGACAACATGGCAACATGGCTGCAAAGCCACCACCCTTAGCATCTACATAAAGTCCAATTTTAACACCAATACAACCAATGTAGCTAATTTAAAAGAAGCTACGTAATGTTTCCTTGTACTTTTAATTAATAAATGCAAATATCTATCACAACATCAACAACAGGATATTCATCACTACAAGGATAATTGTTGGGGTAACATTCTTGGAATAAGGCACGAATAGTACCAAGGAAGTTTTCCCTTTCTTCCCATTCCTCCAGTTTTGCATGAATTTAGCATAAGTACAGACACATGGAAGGAGAGAAACATCTGCATTAAGCTGATGAAAATGTGTTAGGATTACTGAAATATTTGGGGGACACATTTGCCCGGAGCACCCTACTGCACTTTGAAACACATTTAGTAGCACTGCCGTACTTTGCCCTAGTTTGTTAATAGAAAGACAAAAACCCCCAAGTTGTTCTGTATTTACTGATAAAGTGATGAAATCAAGGTGTTTTAGAGAAGGGAGGAGGTTCTGTGTTTAAAATTAGAAGGGAAATTCACACTGGTCAGCTAAGTGAGTTATTATGGACAGACAGCTGCTGCTACAGTATCAAAGACATCTTTGAGGAACCCACTGAGTACATCTAAGGGGCGTAATGAATGCTTCTCACAGTCCACCTTTAATGTATAAGACAATTTTAACTCTCCGGGTTAAAAGATGAGTCTGGGCCAAGAGGAAAGATTTTGATGCTCGTGACAAAGAGGCTTGTGTGTTTGATGTTTTACCATTCAATTAAGGCTCAAATTTGATTTAGACAGTTACTGGACTGGCTGTGTGCTGTGTGCAAACGTTGCACCAACAAATTAGATTCACTCCCAGGATCCCAATTCAATTAAATTCAGTGGAAGAAGAGTGGAGCACATTCAGTCACAATCAGTCCCTGGCTGGATTATTCTGAGAGGATCGCGGTCATGCCTGAACACAAGATTAACTGATTACATGAAGATGCACACCTGCACAGAACAGTTTTCCCTCAAGTGTGCTCACATTAGTGTTCTCGTCAGTGGTTTTGTGAAACACGTCACAGGTCTCCTTGTTATCACATCGTCAAGCCAAGAGGTGGTTAGGCTCTGTGCTGAGTGGGAATCAAAATCAAATCTAAAAATCCACTTTAAAACCGGCAAATGACAAACTGTATCGATTACTATCAAACCTGATAGTGACGCACATGAGCAAAATACAAAGTTTGCACAAAATAACTATGATTGGATGATGAATGTCACATTGAAGCAGTCGTGTCATTGCATGAACTCTCGGACTCACCCGCGAGAATAGATGTGGCTGAGGGCTGCTGCTGCTGTGAGGCGACTCCAGGGGTGAAGAAGGGGAGGGGGAGGAGGGGGAGGAAGGCGACGGGGAGAGGGACGAGGCGTGGCGGGAGGACGGGGACAGGCTGAGGTCCATAGCCGGAGGAGTGAAGCAGGACCCGGGTCGTTCATGAGGGGAAGACTGGGAATCTGTAGTGGAGGTTAAAACAGAGTTATAATGGGATTTCTTTATGTGTCCCATATTGTATAAAGTGAGACTTCCATGTCTTTTTTCATTATAGATCACGTCTAGGTTCTGTATTAATACTGTGAGAGTATCAAAGCGCTCAGTCCACAGAGAAATGCACACAGCCTGTATTCAGACACTGAGTCTAAAAATGAGCTGTCAGCACTTCTGTAACTTTGTGATGTCACAACAAAGATGTCACCGCCCTCAGCCATGCCTGAAGCCCCGCCCACCTGACCCCACCATCCAACCTTGTAGGAATTGGTTTCTCTGAGTGTTTACCTCAGAGAGGAGATGTAAAACTACACTGAGATGGTTTTTGGCTCCACAAGTATACCTTCTTATGGATCAACACTTCAAATAAAACACTGGAAAAATGTAAAATATGGGACCTTTAAAAGTTGCTCTCATTTTAACCAACACTGTGCAGCT